TAGAAATAGATAGACCCGTCAAAGACACTCCAAAGAGCAGCTTTTCTAAAGGTATGAGAATTTAGATGAACTTAACGCTATTCAAACAAACACTCAACCTCGGTTCCAGTAAAAAACCATTATTTTCCAAAAAAAAAAAAAAAAAAGATAACCTCAGACGAGAAGTAACAAACAAGCAATAAACTAGTGTAAAAAACGAAGAAATTCTCGAAAAAACTGAACTAAAATTAAGCTTACTTGCAAGGACGAAACACCCGACAGTCGAAATAAAACCGGACAAAAACGAGTTGAATGGAAAAGTGCCAACGAGAACACAATATACAAACCTAGAAACCACGTGTGAAGAATTTTCAGGAAAATATAGCTCATAAAAGAATGGGGAAGTAGAGTATGAAAAGAAGTTTAATTTTTAAAAAAGGTAACTGTGAAATAACGATAGGAATTTCTTTAAAAAAGCAAAGCCAAAATCCTATCCCCTCCTTACTACTTTTTAATTTTCTTCTGCTAAAAATTAGAGGTTAAATTAGAAGTTCCCTTACTGTATTACTCCAGTGAGAAGAATATAAAAAAGATAGGCATCGATGACTTTTAACTTTGATGGCGTCGTTCTACGATAGTCTTCAAAAAGTTTCCGTACAACATTTGCAAGCTCCATTCTCCTGAAACAGCTAACACACATATGTGGTTCTTAAATTAACTAAATAATTGAGGAACACCTAAAGAGAAGTAAGCGAATAACTTTGTGAACTATAAGAAAGTTGTCTGGAAGATGATAAAGCAAAGAAGAATCTAACACGTTGTATCATATTACCGAAAAATAATGGAAATTTTTATATATAATCGTTGCGTTTTACTTCCACGCTATCTAATCTTTTGGCCAACGGCCAGCTCCGAAGAATCACTGCCATAGTTAACAGCACAATTATAGCTGGGTGTTAACTGGAAAACCCACCCAGAATCGCAGGAAGCGATAAAGTATAAACAAAACTTTGTTTCAGAAAAAGCCGCTCCAATGTACCGAGAGCAATCATCACCGACTGCATGTTGGGGGTTGGTTCGGTTTTCAACATGTCCTTACCTGGCGTTCTTATGTCAGAAATATAAGTATCAGTGCTATCATTGTATATTGCATGTATACGCATGGATAAATTAACAAGTAGTCGGGCTAGCAAAAAACTTCAGATGCTCTGAAATACAGGCATTGAAAAACTCAAAAAGTCTGAAAAGAGGAACTGAGACAGAACCCACTAGAAAGTCAACAGTGGGCAACGGGCATGTATCAAACTTATTATAACACGGTAATTGGAGTAATTAGATAATAAAGTTGATGTAAAAGACAAAGATGCATCCTTCCACGTTTCTGTTCACAACTCAACAACGGAAGGTCTATTAAACTGAGAACATGAAGCATGGAATGCAGAATACGTTCCTCCGCAGCAGAATATCAATGGTAAATTATATGCAACCTCAGGCACCCAAAAAATTCAAGTACTTTTATAAAGGCCGCTTGTGCACTCATAAAAGACAGTGACAGCGTACTGTTGCAAGGAGCCCAAAAAGAGGTTGTTTTACTACAAGGAGATTCTCACATCAGTTTAGAAATAACCTCTGTCGTATCTTAGTTATCAGTAAACTGACGCCAATCGTGACACTAGAAGAAGTAAAATATTAATACAATTAGTTCCTTCAGAATTAGGGATATTTTTCAACATTCCAGTGAGGCATCAATTACAGTAGCGCAAGTGTTAGGTTTATCTGCTAAAGATGAAAATTGCAAGTTGGTTCTGGTTTTTGATTAGTAATTTTTGCTGTGAAGTTTGCCTCAGCAAAAGATCTGAACATTAGTAAACTACAGAACTTTACTATTTTCTTGCTTAAATTTCATGATCAAAATCGCTTTGAACAAATCAAAAGCTGGACATCGCTTTTGTTTTTTCTTCGAATGTGGTACGCCGTTTTCCGTTTACTTCTGATCCCTGTAGATGGATGATACTGTTTTAAAAATGCTGTGAAGCTGCAGAAAAAAATTATAGTAATTCCTGATTTCTGTAAGGCAACACCAGTTGTAGTAGAATTATAGCTACCTAAATAGGACGACAAATTCTATGATCGCCGTGTATCTGCAACAACTGGTGTTGCCTTACATGCGTTAACACTTTTATTTTTTCCATATTTAAACTTGACTTCTTAAGCAAGTTATAATACAGAAATATAGTGCGTTACAGCGGTATGCGACCCAGCAGGCCACTTGCAATAATACAACACGGTCAGTAAAATGAAATGAAGTAAAAAATGAAAGAGTTCAGTAAAACTATTACAAATTGAAACAACAAGCCGCGCATACAGTCCAGAAAAAGAATGGGACCTGACCTTCTTGTCTCAAATCCGTTATATTCTTGTTTGAATGGACTAACTGGAAAAGCACTCCTCCCCTTGAAACGACCACCCGGTATTGCCGTTCTGTTCAGTGTACTGCGCGCCTCACTGATCCGCTAAGTCGTTTACTGTTTTCGGCTTGAAAACATGAAGTCATTGCTTTTTCAAAATTGCAAAATTAATGGCAACTAGGGCACAAACTTGGCCACTTTTTCATAAAGTTCTCGTAAACTGGACAGACAGAGTGCATGAGGACTGAAAATTAAAAATTCATGGCAAAAAGGGAAACCACAGAACGGCTTTGGACATCATATCAGAAGCCCAAAGGCTTATTTTTCCAAAACTATTGAAACCACCTATATCAAAGAATTGACCAAAAATGTTTTGAACAATATACGTAATTGCTATCATTAAGAGTCGGTCATAATAAATTTTGCCCCATAACGTTTTATGATCTGAGATTTTTCTAGTTTATTTCATGCTGAGATCGCAAATAACACTTGCTGCATTTTACGAAATGTATTCAAATCAGAGTTGCTCGGTCAAGAAAGTGGTTTTTGGAACTTCAAAAAGTAAAGTACCGAGAAGTCTCGGACTGCTGCCGTTAAGATGTTTTGAGTTCAATCTGATAAAGTTTTTAGTTATTACTAATCAAACGGACTACTTTCAGGTGTTTAAAACGCAATCATTTCAGTTTCACTGCCTTCTCTTGCACTCAAAAACCTTAAAGCACTTGCAGCTGCCCAAAAGCTCTTTTCAGAGTAAGAATAAACAGTGAATTATATTCTGACGGAATACATGTTCGCAGTAGAAACAAAGAGAACGCTGTATTTTCTCATATTTCAAAGTTCTTTAGGTCCCTAGCCTTTCAAAAATACTAGCGATTACTATACTCAGAATGTCTATAACTCGGTTCTTTATGAACCTGTTCAAGTCTCTTACCGAACGCATCACTAATCACAGTCCATAAACTGATATTTCGAATTTTAATTGGAATTTTTGTGAATAAGTATGACTTTGTTTGGGATTTATATGGGAATTCTCTTCTAGAAACACATCCACCCCGAGTTGTTTGCTCCTTATAAAATTAAACCACATTTTGTAAGTGCAGAGTCAGTTCCTATATGTAAAGTAAGTATGCATAATGTGGGTTATCAAACTTGTATTAGAATGAAAAAAAAAGTAAAATCATGAAGTGCAGATTTAGAAAGTTTTTTCACAACTAAGAGTGCAATAAAAATATCTCGTGCAAGATATTTGCAAAACCAAAAGAATGCACCTAAGCGGGTTGCTTAGATTTTTTACCGTCTCTGGTTCGAGTACGCAGTTGAAATAAGCTTCAACAATAGTTTTGCAAATATTCGACGATATTTGCAACAGGCCACCCTCAACCTTTTCATCAAGATTACCATGTGTAGTGATTGTTTCGTCCCATATTTACACAGATAAACTCAAAATCTTGTACTTTACAGAAACACACAAGCCGTACTCCGAAGTAAACGACGGTGCAGCAATTCTTGCAAGGATATGTGGTATAGTTTGTCGACAGGAAGGAATACGTTGTTCAGAGTACTGCGCAGAATGCATCTCAGAAAAAGGGTTCAGAGGTACAAAAGCTTGAAACATTTCAATTAGGCTTCTTCGTTTTCTACAGAATTATATACAAGTCAAAAAAGTTTAACGACTAATAGGTTACTGGCTAATATGTGAGGGTTAAATCACCTGTAGAGAAGTGAATTTAGAAGCTCTTCTTAGACGGAAAAAAAACCTGAACAAAAAAGTCGTAAAAAGACATAACTGGATTAAAACCCCTGAATGAAGAAGTTATATGTTACGATACTTGAGGACGATAATAAAAATGTAATTTTGGCTTTGACCGAAACTCTTACTAAGGAGTGATAAGAATTTTCAGACGCTTTTCAAAGCATTTTTGTGCTTCTTGCTTTTTACCTTTTAAAAATTAATAATAAGTCCCCGTACATTTTTAAATTCGTGTATATTTATTTTATCCAGAAAATATAGAAGGCATCGACGACAACTGCTATGCTTTCGTCCTTTTAAAGCCTTTGCTCAAAAACTGGTGAAAGCATTGGGTAACTCCTAAGCTTTTCCTACTTTGGTACGTGTGCCACGTGACCGTACAATCTAAAATAGTATCGAAGAAACTTCTAGCTTTTATATGCTAAGTAGCTTTTCAGTCCGGATGTCTAGTGATAGTTATCAAAAATGGGACGGAAGAAGTATTTTCGTCTTCTTACAATCTTCAAGAGAAGAAAACTTTATTATTAGTGACTAGAGTTTCTCTTTGTCTCCTCTAAAAATAACTCATATTATCAAACAGAAGAAACAGTGCACATTTTGGTAGTACTTTCTCGCATTCGCAGTCGGAGGTTCTGTCAGAAGCGGTGAAGCCTTCTGCTATTCAGGTGGAGTAAATTTTAAGACTGTTTAACAAAGTCAAAAATTTACCGTGATACAATTCTAGAAAGTCATCGTAAAAAGTGTTGTGAAAGAAATAATTTATTGAGAATTATTAACGTTATAAGAAAAAAATTTACGAAAGAGATATGATATGAAATGATAATATAATACGAGCCGTAAAACAGAAAAAAGTGATTTAAATTGTAAAATGTAGATATAACTCAAAAAACAATACGACGATCAAACTGAAACAAACAAAAACAACGAAATATTCTTCTTCAGAGTATACGACGTACCTTAAAGTCAAAAATAATTTAAGATAAGAAGGCTAAAAGCGAAAGCACCTACCCCTTAGCGTACTGTCAGTCTTTTCCCACAAAAAGGTCCTGACGTTAGACACCAGCAGAAGCTGCTTTATCCGCATTCTAAAAATTATCAGGCGGGAAGTCCAAAGTCAGCACTGAAAAATGTTTATAAGTAGTTCGAAAGCGAGTCAGACATCAGAGAATTTTACGTGGTTACGATGTGGTTACCCGCTGCGCCTGAGAGAACAATAAGTCTGTTGCACTTTGTTTGGAACGGTACTGCTTTTCTTGGAATGCTTTCGATAAACTAATGATAAATTGATCATAAATTAAAGAGAATTATTGTAATTGTTGTGTGTGTATATATTTTTATTCATTTCTTTATTTATTTTAGGCGTTCCACATCGAATAGAGCATTTTTCTACTCAATTCTCAAAATTTTTTTAAAGTTTTTCAGAATTTAAGAAAGAACTCGAGTAAATGAATTTCTAACTAAGTTACCCACCAAACAGTTGCTCGATTTGGCAGGATCAAACGCGACATGGTTACTTTTCGGGTTTTGCAACCCATTTCGATCTCGAAGAAATTAAATATTTATTAGTTTGTTAGGTTTCTTTTGCTTACAGTTAAGTGTAACTGCTTCAAATATTTTTAAGTAACTGGACAGACACAACAAAGTTAGAAATATAAAAACAAAAAAAATTTTTTTCTTTTTAAAAGAAATTTTTTGAGTAGAATTTCTGCTTTATAATGTGTCAAAAATTGGTGGTGTTGCCCTTAACGGAATTACTAGTTAATCGTTAAAAAGCGAAGTGATGGTAAAGTCTATTATTGTTATATTAGTGGTGTGCATTTTACAGTAGCCAAAAACTTCTTCACCTGCAATATCTGCTTCTGGGTGCAGCAGCGAACCATTATGATTGTTCAGTATGTTTTTGGAGCAAAAGGCTTTTTTCCAAGAACCTTTTTTTACATAAAAAAATATTTATAAGTTGTTCAAATAGTTATTATACAGTTATAGAGAATTTTGCTTCTGGCATTGCAGAACGAGGTTTTCAAGCTAACAAAAGCCGTTCAGGGTAAACATTATTGGTGTTTTGACTTCTGAAGCAGGAAATTTTTTTTTGACATTGGAAAGGCTTTGGAGTAATAAACTGGTCCTGAAAAATTTTTTACAACGCTTTTTTCAGGTGACAAATCATTATAATGAACAGAGAACTCAAAAGCTACTAGTGAAATGATCGGCACCTACTCGCTTGAAAGGAAGACGAATTACAAGGGTAAGAGTTCTCATGGGACGGAGCCAGCTTTATGGCATCGAAGAAACGTTGAAGTAAAAGAATTAAAATCCGTGAATGTCTAGTAACATCAGAGTTGGTAGGCTTTGAAAAGAAACAATGGGAAAGTCTAGGTTTTT